AACCACCATCTAGAAGAAGCATAAGTTAATATTTAATATAGTCAGTAGTTTTCTACTTGCTTCTTTTTAATTAAAAATTTTTTTTAATTGAGATAATCCTGATCTTAAAATTTTATAACTTGCTCTAAAATATAAAGTTTCCTAAAAACATTGTTTCGGGACTTTGCTGAGTGGTGCTGTGGTTAAGACTTCACCTTTCACTGTAAGCTGTGTGGGTCTGATTCCTGGTCAGGGAGCTAAGCTCCCAGATGACTCACAGCAAAATTCCAAAACATAAAAAAGAAACAATACTGAAACAAACTCAATAAAGACTTTAAAAAAATGGCCCTCATCAAAAAAATCTTTTTAAAAAACATTATTTAATACTTCATAAATATTTCAATGGCTACATAAATATGTCATTGGACAAATGTTTAGTAATATAATGAACTATTCTCTCATTAATATGTTTTCACTATTTTTGTTAAATTTTTGTAGCTATAAATAACTCTGGGCTTCCCAGGTGGCGCTGGTGGTAAAGAACCCACTTGCCAATGCAGAAGACATAAGAGATATGAGTGTAATCCCTGCATCAGGAAGATCGCTGAAAGAGGGCATGGCAAGCCACTCCATATTCTTCCCTGGAGAATCCCATGGACACAGGAGCCTGGCGGGCTATAGTCCACTGTGCTGCAAAGAGTCAGACACAAGTGAAATGACTTAGCACGCATGCACACACGTACCTAACTCTATGCTCAACACAGAACATTTTGGAGTATTATCTTAGTGAGGGTTCACAGAAGGATTGCTGTATCCCTTGACATGAAGAACTTAGGGAGGAACATCCCTAAGACGTGAAGACCTTAGTGTCGTAACATGTATTGACAGATTCCTTTCTAAATAGAGCAGTTTGAAGTTGCGGCAAAAAGTGTTTTATCACTTAGAAGGAGTCTGTGAAAGTGCTCTTTTCGAAACAGCATCGTTATTCTGAAATATTCTAAATAATATGAAAACAGATTATTCTCGTTAAAAATAATCTTTGCTAGGACTTTCCTGGAGGTCCAGCAGTTAAGACTCTGCCCCTCCAGAGCAAGGGGTGTGAGTTCAGTCCCTGGTCAGGGAACTAAGGTCCCGCATGTCATGCAACACAACCAACAAATAAATAAGAATAATAAAATAATTTAAAAAATAATGTTTGCCAATTGTTTTGTATTTCTTTTGAAGTTAAACAACAGAGATGGTAGCTAGTGACAAAAAGTCTGTGCTCACCTTTCCTTTGCATGAGTGTGTGCTAGGAAGGAGGCGTGGTCCAGGCAGGGCTTCAGTTCCCAGTCCAGCCTGTCTGCAGTCTGCGTGTCTAGTGAGGCAGTCCTGCTGAGGGGCGCTGGGCAGGAAACTGGTGTCACAAACAGGACAGTTTTCTGGAGAAGCCCACATGCCTTCTCCACTTGCTCTTCCTTTGCTGTCTGGATGAAGAGGGCACTGTGGCCCCGAGGGATGGCAGAGCCACAAGGCAAAGGAACCCGTATGCATCAACCCACCAGGGAGGAGAGCCATGGACAGCTAAGGACACTGCTTCACGAGAAAGAGATAAATGTTTATTAATTACCCCATGGAAATGCTGGCAGCCACTTGTTACAGTAGCTGACTATCCACCCCTTCGTAGGTATCCACATGAAAGATGACCACACAGAAAAGACACCAAGTGTTCCTTTATCTTTATGTAACAGAAAAGGCCGTAATTTGTTATTCATTTTTCAGTCGCTAAATCATGTCCGACTCTTTGCAACCCCAAGGACTAAAGCCTGCCAGGCTTCCTTATCCTTCACTGTCTCCTGTATAATGGCACATATATGGTAGTTCAGTTGGTAAAGAATCCACCTGCAATGCAGGATACCTGGGTTTGAACCCTGGGTTGGGAATATCCCCTGAAGAAGGGAACATCTACCCTCTTGAGTATTCTGGCCTGGAGAATTCCATGGACTATATGGTCCATGGGGTTGCAAAGAGTTGGACATGACTCAGCGACTTTCACATGCCATTATTTATATATATGTGTGTGTGTATCACAAAATTCTTTTTAAAGGTAAAAAAAATACACACACACATACACACACATCATATATGTATACACATACACATCACAAAATTCTCTTTTAATATTTGGGACATGTGAGTCATGGACATGGGTGGTCTTCCTTCTTTCAGGCACAAATACTTACTGTTGATGCAGTTCCTAATTCCAGAGCCTTCCTGTTTCACCATGAAATTGATGACAGTGGCTTCAGAGATGGCCCACCAAGTAGGGAGGTGACCTCTGCTCGTTCTGTCTTCAGGCTTTACCTCCTCTTCCTGTGGAAATCTGTATCTGTCATGGGGACCTTTATTCCCAGGCCTTTCAAAGTACCTTGTCGTGGCTACTGATCCACGGAGCCTGCATCTTCACACGCTTTTCAGCTTAGATCAGGGAATCGCTGTGGCATTAAATTAGCCACAGGAGAGCTCCATCGCAGTTTCCAGGGGGGTTGGGGGGGTCTGCAGTTATACTTTCCTGGCACATAACTGCATCTCTGCAGTTTTCAGTGGGTCATATTTATTTATACAGGTGAGATAAGAAGCCAGGGCAGGGAGCTCAGTTACATTCAGAATGTTCATTTTACAAGTCCAGAGAACCTTCTGGAAGCCTAGAGTGTTTCTGGGGAAAGACGCATGAAAATGAGGCTTCAATGGATAAGCTCTGATGTGTTTTATTTTTTATCTTGGGCATCTTAAAATTCATAGCAACGGTTTATACTTAAGACACGCAGTTAATTCACGTGTCTAATGCATGAAAAACACACCTATTTTTGTGCATTATCCACTATTTTTCTTCCTTTCTTTATAATCCGTCTGACAGGCAGTTGCCACAGTCCTTTGTTGTCACATGTGACAGCATTTTCCAGCTTGTCCTACAGGATGAAAATTACAAGAAGATTCTGGGTACATCCAGGAGGAACAAGACTGAGGACAGTCCCTTACCGCATGGCTCGTCAGCACAGCACTCTGCATCTCCCGGGCAGGCTCTTCAGGAGCATGCACATGCTCTTCTCAGAGGCTAAGAGCCAGGTTTCACACATTACTGTGCCCAAAAAACCCCAAAGCCTGAAAAGGGAATCCAAAAGCTGAGATCACACCTACTCCGAGAACTGGGGGAAACCACATGGAGAGTGTGAGTTACTGTACTGCCTGACGTTTCTGGGATTTCCTTCTGGAACTCACAAACAGGAACCCTTACAGCACCTGCACCACAGGGCAGACCTGGCGGCCCCCAGGACATCCCAGTTTTGAAGTTTTAGCTCATTCTCCTGCAGCTTCTTAGGGCTGCACTCACCAGTTTGCTTCTTTTCAATTTGGGGAAGAGATAGATAACTAGGGAGTCTAGCACATGCAAACTCAGGTGACGAACGTGACTGTGTTTGGGGATTATAGTACATGAGCTTAGATCTGGGCTCTGCACAAAGGAGATGGAGAAGCCTTATTTCAACTGCCAATTTTAGAAGAGAAATCACTTGTCTCCTCATTTCACGAGGAAATAACTCTAAATCACCAACAAAACAATAGACGACATATACTTTTTATTAAAAAGGCATTTTTGTGGCTAGATGCTACTTTACGCCACATTTCAAAGAACTCTCTGAAAGTCACATTGTCTTTGGACAGATGAATTATTTCAGTTTTGATGGATCCATCCTCTGGGCCATGTGCTGTTTAGCTCCGCCGTGCATGGCACTCTCCGGGCAGGAACACTGGAGTGGGTTGCCGTGCCCTCCTCCAGGGAACCTTCCCGACCCAGGGGTTGAACCTGCGTCTCTTATGTCTACTGCATTGGCAGGTGGGTTCTTTACCACCAGCACCTCTCTGAGTCTATGACCTTTCTTTCCTGTATTGACTCTGTGTCCCCCACCTGCCACCCTCTGAACACACCAGCAGATTGAGACAAGCAGCGTGCCCTCTGCAACACCCCTGACTGGCACTTGGATTTACCGGGCTGAGGAAGAGGAGCCAGGCCGGGATGAGCTGCTGGGTGCCTGCGCACGGTCCTATGTGTGGATGGAGACCCTCCTGCACGGCTGTCAGGTCGACTCCTGCTGCGGTAGGAAACGCATGTAAACCCAGCCTGGCTCTCGGGGAAGCTCATCATGTGGCAGCACAAGGGGGGCTGGGAGCTGGCACCCCAGACACGTATCTTCCAGAATGCTCCTCTGTTAAAACAGACTTCTCAAAGGCTGCTCTCCATGAGTGGGAATGACGGCGCCCACTGCCCGTCCAACCCCGAGGTCCCTTCTCACCTTCTGAGGAGCCTGTCTACTGTTCTCCAGACTGGCTGCACAGATTTCCAGTCCCCCCAGCCATGCACAGGGGTTCCCTTCTTCCACACCCTCTCCTGCAGCTGTTACTCCCCCGGCCCCCTCCCCATCTGTGCCTGGTCACTACCTCTGCAGGCCCCGCAGCTGCCCACTACCTCCCTCCTGAGAGCCCTGACAGCCTTTGTAACTTCTGGGCCATGTCCCACGTTCCAGACTTTTCTGTGCTTCAGTGGTAATTTATCACCATTCAGACAACAGCTGGAAATACGCCATATGAACCAAGCTTATGCTATTAGTGGGAGCTAAAGGCCAAATACACGGTACTGGGGCTTGAGACACCTATTTTCCAATTGCAGTGAGAAAAATGAAGTCATAAGGTGCTAGTGTAGCCAGGGCGCCAGTGTGAGCCAACTCCCCAAGCAATGCATTCTCATCAGGGATCTGGCTGGAAGAGAGTGGTGTCCTCGGAGCCTGAGCGCAGGACGGGAGGGTGTGAGGGCAGCCTGATAGATCAGAGCGCAGATTCTGCAGCCACAGGGCCTGGGGTCAGGTGCCCAGCTTCACAGCCTTGTGGCTGGTGACAGTCCTGGACCAACCGCTCAGTCTCCTCTTAACGGGTGTGGATGTGAGCAACCTCGGGCTTCTCGGGGTTTCTTAGGCTGATCCCTGCAGGTGATGTCAAGCACGCTCTGTAAGTGCCAGCTGCTATGTGGCGAGTCTCTCCAGCCCTGCCTGCTGGACACCCGCGTGAGCTGGTGGAGGACGGGGGACTGCGTGGCTGCCGGACAAGGCACCTTGGAGCCTATTCTCCACCGAAAAGTGACCCAGAGAGGGAGAGAGCTCTGCCAGCCTGTGACCCCGAGACACACGGCTGACAGTGGTGCAGCAAAGACCCTGGGCTGCAGCGCCCACCGCGGTCCCTCCCTGGAGACGCCGGGAAGGATCCCACCAGGGCCCAGCCCCAAAGCTGCAGGGTGGGGGACTGTCTGTGCACATGGGGCTGCCCAGCACCCTCAAAGGGGTCCGAGTGGCCTTCCAGGGACAGGGGTGGGTGATGAGAGCAGGCTAGGCATCAGTTACCCCGAGCTGTAGCATGTACGGCCCACCCAGTGAAAGGCTGGCACTGCTGGGGGGCTCCAGTCACCCCAGAAAAAGATCTCGTGAAATTCAATCAAATCTTGGAGGCTTTTCTCATTTCCCTCTTTCCTAAACCATGCAGTTTTCTCCTAAACATATATGTTTTAAATATAGTCTTGGTCATGTTCAAGAGAACTGGAAGTCAGGCTGGGAAGATGTTTACCTAGTATGTCTACTCAGGGCTTGTGGGTCTCCCCCATGATCTACCACCTTGTCCCCCACATGCAATTTCACTCACAAATAAAAGACACGTAATAAAACACGTGGACACATAGACACCGGTAACAAAGCCGAGATGACGCCGGAGCAGCAGTGATGCTCTCTTCTGGCTGACGACGTAACTCACCCTGGCGGGTATCATCCTCTCAGTGAGCACAGACAGATGGACATGGGTGTTCTTCTGTCCTGTGTTCTTGCTGAAGGAAGGAGCTGCCTTGGGCCTGAGGACTGACCTCGGGGGCCCCAGGCAGGGCGGGCATGGCTCAGCATCAGCACCTAACAGACCTCTAGATGACGGCTTCATGCGCTCGTGCTGTCTTTTCAGATGATCATTTCTCGGGGTGGGGGGGGGGCAAGAGTCCTTTCATGCATCTTTGGTATTCCAGCAGTACATAGTCAAGTCCAGAACACAATAAGGGATTCTCTGATGGCTCAGTGGTAAATAATCTGCCTGCCAATGCAGGAGATGTGGGGTCTATCCTTGGGTCCAGACGATCCCCTGGAGAAGGAAATGGCAACCCACTCCAGTGTTCTTGCCTGGAAAATCCCATGGACAGAGAAGCCTGGTGGGCTACAGTCCATGGGGTCGCAGAGTCAGAAACAACTGAGCAACTGAAAAACAACAATCTTTTCAGAGGGACACTAGCTGTAGTGAATTAGGGCCCACCCATATGGCTTCACTCTAACTTTATCACCTCTTTAAAGGCACCGCCTCTGATTACAGTCACAATTCTGAGGTTCAGCGGTTACAATATCAACATATGGATTTTCTGGGAACATATTTACCCCTTAACAGGGTGTTATCTGAAAGTGTGGTTCCTGTCTTCTTGTTGTTCAGTCATGTCTGACTCTTTGCAACCCCATGGGCTGCAGCACGTTAGGCTTTCCTGTCCTTCACCATCTCCCAGAGCTTACTCAAACTCATGTCCATCAAGTCGGAGATGCCATCCAACCATCTCATCCTCTGTCATCCCCTTCTTCTCCTGCCTTCAATCTTTCCCAGCATCAGGATCTTTTCCAATGAATCAGCTCTTCCCATCAGGTGGCCAAAGTACTGGAGTTTCAGCTTCAGCATCAGTCCTTCCAGTGAAACCCAGGACTGATCTCCTTTAGGATGGACTGGTTGGATCTCCTTGCAGTCCAAGGAACTCTCAAGAGTCTTCTCCAACACCACAGTTCAAAAGCATCAATTCTTCAGCGCTCAGCTTTCTTTATAGTTCAACTCTCACATCCATACATGACCACTGGAAAAACCATAGCCTTGACTAGACGGATCTTTGTCAGCAAAGTGATGTCTCTGTTTTCCAATATGCAGTTTAAGTTTGTCATAGCTTTTCTTCCAAGGAACAAGCATCTTTGACTTTCATGGCTGCAGTCACCATCTGCAGTGATTTTGGAGCCCTAAAAATAAAGTCTTGTTTCCATCGTTTCCCCATCTACTTGCCATGAAGTGATGTGACCGGATGCCATGATTTTAGTTTTTTTAATGTTGAGTTTTAAGCCAGCTTTTTCACTCTCCTCTTTCACCTTCAAGAGGCTCTTTAGTTCCTCTTCGCTTTCTGCCATAAGGGTGGTGTCATCTGCATATCTGAGGTTGTTGACTAGTCTTTTTTAAAAAATTAATTTGTTTATCTTAATTTGAGGCTACTTGACAATATTGTAGTGCTTTTGCCATACACTGACATGAATCAGCCATGGGTGTATATGCGTTCCCCATCCTGAACCCTCCCTCCTCATCCCATCCCTCAGGGTCATCCCAGAGCACCAGCCCTGAGCACCCTGTTGTAATTAGAAGAAACATATATAAGCTCGTGCATGACTCTTGAAATATTAGAAACAGATGCCATCTTTAAAAAAATATTTTTGAAACTAATTTTATTTATTTATGGCTGTTCTGGGTCTTTCCTGCTGGCTTGTCTCCAGTCTCCAGTTGCGGCAAGCAGGGACCTCTGGTTGGGGTGCGGGGACTTCTCATTGCTGGGCTTCTCTTGTGGAGCGCAGGCTCTGGGGCGTGCAAGGCTAGCAGCTGCAGGCTCCAGAGCGCAGGCTAGGTAGTTGTGCTGCCCAGGCTTAGTGGGATCTTCCTGGACCAGGGGTCGAACCCCTGTCCCCTCATTGGCAGGCAGATTCTTTACCACTGGAGCCAGCGGGGAAGCCCAGATGCCAACTTTTAAATATATACCAAATAAATTCCTTTTCTTCCCTTAAATGATTAGTGATTTTTAGGGAAGGCAGATGGAGAAGGCAATGGCAACCCACTCCAGTGTTCTTGCCTGGAGAATCCCAGGGACGGGGGAGCCTGGTGGGCTGCCGTCTATGGGGTCGCACAGAGTCGGACACGACTGAAGCGACTTAGCGGCAGCAGCAGGGAGGGCAGAACAGCTCCTGGCAGCACTTCAGAAGATTTGTGGACATTCTGGTTTCACAACGACTGGCAGGTGTCTCTTTAAGGCACAGGAATTGATTATTTCTGTAGCAGCACATGGCGAACCACATCTAAAAAACTACCACTTGCTTTTGTTCATATTTTGTAACTATAAAATATGTGATGTTATTATATTTTACAATCTGTATTACAATTTACAAAGAGGGCATTATTATGGTTTTTTGAATCTGTAGGTAAACTACGTATGAATTTTATATTAAAATCATGATGGTGGCATTACAAAATATTTGTTTTAAAACAGAGTGCTGTGTTTGATAGGGTTGAGGCTCTTTGCACCAGATGTTAAACTCCTAAAGGTGGGACTGTCTCTTCATCACTTTTCTTTTCAAACTCTAAACCACAGGGGCTCATGGAGGTGTTCAGCGTATAGCAGTTAATTAAGTAAATACTTTCCACAGGTCTTTTGTTCTTACCACTGTGGAAATGCTGAGGAAGGAGGAATGTAAACAGCTCGTGTCAGGATATTTCACTTACATCTGCAGATTTTTGGGTAAAGTACTCTTCATTAACAAAGGAGAATAAAGGGCCCGATGAACCATGGGGAAGGGAGGAGAGTGGCAATTTCTTGTCCTGAGAGGGCAGGTGGTCTCTTATACCTGAACTCCCTGTCTCTACGGAGACTGAGACCGCCTTGGTTCCCAGTCACGTGGAGTGGACTTGGAACGTCTTCCTAAATGGAGCCGCTTGTGATCCCAGCCCCTCCAACTCCCTTTCCAAAAGAAAGCTGATTAGGAGTCAGACATCAGGTGACCCAATGCTCACCCCGTGATCTAGGAAAACAAGCGGATCAGCTCAGCGGGCTAGTCACTCTGACGCTGTGGGCCGTGTTCCTGGGATGCTGACTCTAGGAGCAGAAGGGGAAAGTGGGCGCTACTGAAATCTTGCCACAGGTCTCAGCTGACCCCATGGGTCCTTTTCAGTTCTCCCAGATTTCAAGGTTTGTGTGTGTGTGTCAACTACACCCAACACTGACCAGTCTGCGGTGTGGGCTGTCCCAGGGAAAGAGCATACCCTTGAGTGAGCTGGCTCCCCTCAACTGAGAAGGGTGCTCAGAGGGGCTTGGGGGAGAGCTGAGAGCGGCCCGCACTCCTGGGGTGGGGACATCAGGATCGCTGCCTGTGTCCACAGTGTTTCAGATTCACTTTCCTGGGCTTCTTCAAGCCAACAAGTGCAGACTCAAGCATGTGGAGGTGAATGCCCTGAGTAACACAGGGTTATGGTCAGGTTCTCACTCTGACTTGTGAAATTTTTCTGTCTTCTCTTTGAAGAATTGAAGTCTTGCTTTTCTCCTGTTTTTGTGAAAATAAATATGAAGAATGAAATAAATGCATTCAAAGCTGAAAACGGTTAGTGGAATACCCCGTCTACAGCAGAGAGAGGACTTTTCTTTCCTGCCTTAACAAAGACCATCTCTCCCCTCATAGGATGAAGGTGATAAATCCCATGACTCAGCATGGGAACTCAGAACAAACAAGAAAATTCCGCTTACACGCTTTCTTCTCAGCTACCTTTGAAGGTGATGAGGAAAGTAAAAAATATTCTGTGGCAGGACAGCCAAACTAAGAAAAAAAAAAAAAAAGACAAATGACTTGCACCCTCATGGCAGGCCTTGCCTGGTGTGTAGCGTGTGTCTACATTATACATGAATCACACCTCCTCTGAGGAGGGGGATGAAATCAACCTGTGAGAAGAGCTTGGGCCGCTTCTTCAGAGGCCAGCACTGTAGTTCCACGATTAATCTATTTCCTTTCCATCTCATACAAGGACCAAAGACTTATCATGCATGCATAACTGGAAAAAACAAAAATAAAAACCTTGATTGAACTATGGATACAGTGCTAATGGTTCTTAATTTCTTTGTCTCAAAAGTGTATGAAACTGCATCTCTAACTCCTGATCAATGGAGCAGTTCTTGGAGCTTCCCAGATCTGTTTCCTGGGTTATAATCCTTAGTTTGGCTCAAATAAAACACTCTTTTATTTCTTCTTAGCTTGGTAGTTACTTGATTTTTTCATTGACCAAGGGAATTGCCAAATTCAGCACGGCAGTGCACCAACTGCCTGGGGTGGTTTTCTCCCCCACTCTTGCCAGATGCTTTTAGGAGAAATTCTCAGATGGCGTCCTCAGACGACCTCCTGCATTCAAACATTTCCTCGGCTGAAAGACTTAGGCTCCTTATTCAGACTAATTTCAGCACTCAGACGATCCAAAAGGCTGGTGTTTGTTTTCCTGACTAGGAGGAGCTTTATGCTTCGGGGCCAGAAAAATCTATTTTGATTTCAGTATTAGCGGCTGAAACAAAGGCATAACACAAGCAGCAGATTTAAAGGAATAGTTTCATGGTTTGCATGCCATGGAGGGTCTTTCATCCTATATTCACACCAGGCTTTTCTATCTTTACAGAAAAAGTCTGAGTTCTGGTGTTCACCGCCCTCTGCCTGTAGGGCAGAGTGTTCGGATTATCTGCATTGAATACAGTTCTCAGAAACAATGTCCCATTTGTGTCCTGCTCAGAGTGGTTCCCGGAACCTCCAAGGATCCCACAGAAATTTCTTCCTGGGTTGGCTGTCTCTTAGCATTCAAGCTTTGGACTTTGATTTTCCTTGTGGGTCTCACAGGCATGACTTTGGAAGGCAGATGACCTTAGGGTGGTGTGTGTGTGCTCAGTCGTGTCTGACTCAATGTGACCTCATGGACTGTAGCCCACCAGGCTCCTCTGTCCATGGGATTCTCCAGGCAAGAATCCTGGAGTGGGCTGCCATTTCCTCCTCCAGGGGATCTTCCCCACCCAGGGATTGAACCCGCGTCTCTTGTGCCTCCTGCACTGGCAGTTAGGTTCTTTACCACTGTTGTAAGATACAAGCAAATAGGCAGCAGCCCTGCACCCAGCAACTTCAGAGAAGGGGCGGAGGCCGGGCGGGTGGAGCTCTGGTGAGGGGCCTTACTGTCAGCTTCTTGTTTGGCTCTTTCATTCAACAGCCTGTGTGAGACTCCTCCATATTTTGGGGGTGCACAGTTGTGGGTTACTCCCTGTCTTGCTGTGCGGGGTCAGTTTAAACCTCCCTCCACCCCTGACTGCTTCATCATCAGAACCTGTCAGTGCGATCTCAGCAGACAGATCTAAACCAGCTCCCCTGGTCCCCCACCCCCACCAGGCCCTGCCATGTGGCGTGGAGGCTGCATCGGCCTTAGCGCGCGCTGGGGGTGCGGTGTGTCCTCTCACCCCGACCCCTCTCCCCTCCTCTCCTGTCCATAGGGGGCCTTTAAAACAGACGAGGGCCTGTGAGGTGATGCCCGCGGCCCGCGTGGGCTCACAGGGCCCACCTAACCGTGCCCCGCCATTATATACTCCTGAGCTCTTTCCCCTCCTCTGCTTGGGCACCTCAATCAGGCAGATTCCTACCCACCATTCCTCAGAGAGGCCACCTCCCCAGCTGCCCTGTCCGTATGGAAGCTCCCTGTCACTTCAGGCACGGTGACGGCCACGCCCCACATTAAACAACGGCTCCTTGTCCCACTAGGCAGTGGAACCCTGGCCAGGTCTGGCTCCCCTCCCGCCCCGGCTGTATCACGGTGTCTGGCACAGTGCCCGAGAGGCAGCTCTCCACGTATTTCTGGAACCTACGATGGATTAAAGTGTCAGGGATGTCACGACATTTATCAGAAAATGTATTACGGGGACTTTCCCTTAAAGCTGTACGATCCATGGCTTTGCAGCTGAAAATGGGCAGGTTGGGTACCAGGAACTCTGAGTGCTGTCCAGCCCTTTCATGAGCTCCTCTGGACAAAGTGTTTTCCAGAAACACAGCCCCTGAATTAGATGTGGCATGGACGCGACGCCCGAGCCCCAGCCTGAAACTGAAGCACTGACTCCATCAATGCATGCAGCTGCCTCCCCACCACTGCAGCTAATATAATTTATTCAGAAGTTGTGAAGCAAAAAGAATGACATAAGAAGTTGACCCAACTCTGAGTTGCCAGTGGCTTTTTAGACCACAAGAGGGAGATGTTTAAACTCCAGTTCAACATAAAGAAACAATTAGAAGAAATTGGCAATCATAAGGTTGGCCAGATGGACACCTATTTATATGATGTTGACTCCGGAATTCCATTTATTTTTAAGCTACAAAAATTCCAATTCTTTTTGTCTGCAGTGTAATTTGCATTTTAAATGATGTTATTAAAGATAGAGAATTGTCTGCCTTAAAATCCAATTTTAAGTCTAGCTAGTGTGCGGAAGTGTAAGTATTCAATGAAGTGACAAAGAGATGAAAATTCTTTTCGAAATGAATCTTTTTTTTAAAACAGCCTCAGGGACGAAATTAGCTTTCTTTAAAAACTTACTGCTTCTTGAAACAGACTCAGAGACACGGAGAACAAACCTGTGGTTGCCAATGTTGCGGGGGTTGGGGGGCTGGATTGGGAGTGTGGGGTTGGCAGATGCAAACTATTACAGATGGGACGGATCAACCGTACAGCACAGGGAACTATATTCAGTATCCTGTGATAAACCACAGTGGAAAAGAGCATGAAAAAGAATATATATACACGTACAACTGAAACACTTTGTTGTACACCTGAAACAGTGTAAATCAACCATAGTTCAATAAAAAAAACTTAGTGTTTCTTTCACTAATTTTAAATATTTAAGCACCTGTGTCAATCATTGAATTTTTATTTATTTCTTGGCCGTGCTGCACACAGCTTGTAGGATCTTGGTTCCCCGATGAGGGACTGAACCCACACCCACAGCTGTGGATGCGCACAGTCCTAACCACTGGACCACCAGGGAATTACCTATCACAGAATTTTAAAAGAAGTGGACAGCCTATGGCCTGAGAATCTATTAAGAGCACTGAGTCTGACCACAGATGTGTTTACCTACCATGAGTTCATTAATAGTCGCTGCACCTTCCAGCCCCCCGGTTGCCCTGAGGACATGGGTGAGGTGTTGACAGGGCCTGACCCAAGGGCAGAAGAAGGCTTTCTGAGAAGCGAGAGAGAGAGAGTTGAGGGGTGCTGAGATGCAGCCAAATGACCGTGAGGATGACAATGCTGCGGGGTGTCATGCAGTCCAGTTCCCTTGCTGGGAGCATCATAAGGATCAGCCAGTGATGTTCCAATTCAGGGGTGAGAAAACTGAGGCTCAGAGAGAAGGTCTGATGGTCTTGTGTTGAGCGTGGGGCTGTGAAGTGAACCCCACCCTTCAACAGAATTCCAGTCAACTGTCAAGTCTGGGGGTTGCTCAGATCACTGGGCCCTGGGGAACATGTGCTCAGTCGCTCAGTCCTGTCGGACTCTGACCCCATGGACTGCAGCCCACCAGGCTCCTCTGTCCATGGGATTTCCCAGGCAACAATACTGGAGTGGGTTGCCATGCTCTCCTTCAGCGGATCTTCCCCACCCAGGGATTGAACCTAGGTCTCCTGTGTCTCCTGCATCACAGACGGATTCTTTACCACTGAGCCACCTGGGAAGTCCCCAGGTAATAGAGTCTTTCCTATAATGGACCAGGGTTATGTTGTTACCCTATTGAGAACAGCAGGATTCAGCCAAGGCTCTCTTCTTCCCCTAAAACGTTCTGCCCCAAGATGAGAGAGGCTAGCCGTCACGGCGTCTCAAGGGCAGCTATTTCTGGAATGGCTGTCCGTGAACAGTAGATGGGGTAAAGATGCTGGCTTTCTGCTGACTCAGCAGTGTGATGTCAAGGCTCATGGAGCCCAGGCTCACCTGAATCACCATGAACACAGACCATTTCAGGTTCCTAGGAAGTCACAGAACGCGCTCGAATCAGATGACTTGTAAAAATTCCTGCGCTTTCCTGTCGCTGCCCAGAGCTGGAGCGTGTGTCCTGTGTAAACACTCGCCATGTGCTGCGAGCAGATAGCTTAAGACCATCTTCCCGGCTCAGGTGTGAATAGGGGAGTCAGATCCTCCTGCTGCTGACCGCCTGTATCTCCAGGCGTTTGCTCCTGACCCTGCCTTCACTCCGACTCCTAACTGTGTGCCAGGAACAGGCCTTTTCTCTTTTTTTGTTTTTAAATCTTGTATATTTTTGCAAGCCCCTGCAAATGCTGAATTGGTTAATATTTTATATCTGCTCAATTCATATTTTGTAAAATAACTAGTTTTTTAATACTGGCATTAAAGAATCCTTGTTAGATGGTGGGGGGAAAAAAAACCTAAAAAACCAACCAACCAACCTTGGGGCTCCTTTAAGTACTCAGAAAACATTGCTGGTTTTTCTTATCAGAACACGTATGAGAAAATGGCACTCCTAAATATGACTACATGACCCACATCTCATCCTTTATATTTTTCCTGGTACACAGCACATGTTTATGGATGAATGAAGCACCTGGTGTTTGGGCTCAGCTTCATCTGGAGAGGAAGCCAGATGAGGATGGAGATCAAGGCCAGTCGTGACAGTGCCTGCACTGTGGACACCGAGGTTAACAAGACACTGAGCCAGGATGACTGATCCTCGGGTGAACCAGCCTCCACAAGTCACTCCAGGGAGATATCCTGTTCTTTCCCCCTAGGCTGGCATGTGTGGCTCCTAAGGAGACCAGAAGCCTTAAAAATACAGGCTCCTATTTAATAGAAAATAAAACACCAGTGGCCTACAGACACTTTTTTAAAATTTTTATCCAGAAACTGCCGTCATGTGCTTTCACCAGCAGCATGCTGGAATATTTTTTCTACTGGCATGAGAGTCATGACTCCCATTTCCATCAGCAGATCATTGATACTTGGCTTCTCTGTGCTTCACTGTCACATCTGCGTAGTGGAGACGGTAACAGAAGCCGGCACCTCAGAGTTCTGTTGTCAGGATGAAATGAGTAATGCATCAAAGGACTCAGTAATCAAGGTGATACTCAACAAATGTTAGCTGTGATCATGCCTACTGCTTTTAACGTGGAGACAGGAGCCATTCCTCGCAGTGCTGAGGTTTATGTTAAGAGAACCAGGCAAGGACCTCCCTGGTGGTCCAGTGGTTAAGACTCTGCCTGCCGATGCAGGGGGCATGGGTTCGATCCCTGATCTGGGAAGATTCCATTTGCTGTGAGGGAACTAAGCCCGTGTGCCCCAACAAGAGAAGCCACCGTCACGGAAGCCTGCACACCACAGAGGGAGAGCCGCCCCCGCGCACCACAGCTGGAGAAGAGCCCAGGCACAGAAACAAAGATCCAGCCCAGTCACAAACGGAATACAAACACTTTTAAAAGGAGAGAGCTGGACAAGAGAGCATGCTGAAGACACGAGGCACCGAATCTGTTGCACTTCTTTGGGGAGGTCTCTGCCACCAGGACCCTGCCTCTCCTTCATTTGAAGGGACTGTCGAGGTCTGAAGATGCAGCGTTTGTTCCGTGACCATGGAGGGTGGGTCCCCCTTGTATGCACAAACTTACATGGAGAACTGGTTGAGCTGACATGCTCACCAGAGAGTCTGAGTCTAGAGGGGCTAGGTGTTGGCCAAGGTAAGCTAACTGATGCTGGTCAGGGGTAGCTTGGAAAGGGACACCCACTCCTTGGGTGGGCGCTTGGAGATTTTGGGGTGTGCAGGGTGGCCGTGGGCTGCCTATGGCCACTGACAGGTCACATACCTGTGCTCCCCCACTCCACTCTCTAGAAAGTGCTCTGTACTCCAGGTGATGGGGGGGGGGCAGGAGGGTGGCAGCCCCACAAAGGGATCCCTTTGGGGTTAATGTCTCTTTCCAGCAGGCTCATTCTGCAAGTCACTCCGGGAAGAAATACTGTTCTTTCTCCCTAGGCATGTGTGGCTCCTAAAGAGACTAGGAGCCTTAAAAATACAGGCTCCTATTTAATAGAAAATAAAACACCAGTGGCCTACAGACACTTTTTTACAAGTTTAAAATTTTCATCCAGAAACTGCCGTCATGTGCTTTCACCAGCAGCATGCTGGAATTTTCTTTCCACTGGCATGAGAGTCATGGCTCCTATTCCCTTTTTCCTGTCAATCTTCAGACATCTGTCTCCTGCCTCCCATGGCCAAGCACTTGTTTTGGAATATGACCCTTCAGTGTCACTGCAATAATACTTGAAGATGCCGTGGAGTGCTGTGCCCAGAGGTGCAGAAGACACGCCCCTTCCTTGACGGAGCAGATGTTGCCGTGGGGCGGGTGGGGGACTGGTGTGAACAGCACCCTGAGAGAGGTGCCAGACCTGCCCCGCGAGCTGGAGATGAGGCCCCCCTGGGGCAGCCTTGAGGGAAAACAGGAGGAGTCAGGGAGGACCACGCACAGAGGACAGCGCTGACGCAGGTCCTGGAAGAAGGAGCAGGCATGACGCTGCAAGGCTGAGCAGTGGATCTGGGACGGACCAACAGCCCAGCCTGGCTGAAAAGTAGGTTATCTTAGGGAGCTAGAGGAGATAGCACTGCTCTGGGGGAGATAAAAATGCTCTGTGAGAACTTTGTTTGAGGGGAAGTTTGGATTTAAGTCAACAGGCAACGGGGAAGCCTTGATAACCACTCAGCAGAGGAGCGTGGGCACTTCTGTAAGAAAGACACAAACTGCGGACCAGCTGGCTGCCCTGGACGTCTTGGTCATGTCAAGGACCACTCAGCCGTGCTGCTGAACTGGCTGTCCCGTATCGCCTGCATTTGTGTTTTATAACGTTTAATTTTTACTTTAGAATTGTAAGTCGAAATATAGCTGATTTACAATGTTGTGTTAGTTTCAGGTGTAGAGCAAAGTGATACACATATACGTACACACACACACACACACGTATGGGTTTCCTGGGTGGCTCAGTGGTAAAGAACCTGCCTGCCCATGCAGAAGACGTGGGTGCGATCCCTGGGTCAAGATGATCCGCTGGAAGAGGATCCCACTCTAGAGTTCTTGTCTGGAGAATCCCATGGACAGGGGAGCCTGGCAGGCTACAGTCCCCGGGGTCGCAAAGAGTCGGACATGACACTCTTTTCTGGATTCTTTTCCATTACAGGTTATTACAAGACATTGAGTATAGTTCCTCGTGCATACAGTAGGCCCTTGCTGTCTATTTTGCACATAATAATGTGTATACACTGGTCCCCGACTCCCGACTCCTCTCCTCCATCCCTGTATCCCCTTTAGTGACCATGAATTTGTTTTCTGTAACTGAGTCTGTTTCTGTTTTGTAAATAAGTTCATCTATATCATTCTTTTTAGATCCCACATATAAGTGGCATCCCATGGCATTTGTCTTTCTCCTAGTATGATCATCTCTAGGCCCATCCGTGTTGCGGCCAGAGGTGTGATCTTATTTGAATTGGTTGCCCTGTCCGCATGAACACTGCTGGGCACATGGCACAAAGGCTGTAAAGCGCTGCTTGAGGAATCATTGTCAGAAGACAGGCAGCGACACGCATGGGCCTCACAGGAAGTATGCCAGCTGATGGACGCCAGACTCAGAGAGGACAGACTGTGTGAACATGTCCACATGACATCTGAGAAAGCCCAGATGGCAGGGGTGCAGGCCAGTATCCCCAGGCTCCGGGCTGGGAGAGGATCTGGCATTAAGGAATTCTTGGGGTGATGGTGCCCTTTTGTATCCTGCGTGTGGTCATTACAAGAATCTCTGCATATGTTAAAGCTCAGAGAACTGAAAGTGAGACACTTTACTGTAGGTAAATATAAAACACAAATAATAAGAAAAATCAGGTTAATTATCTTCCGTTTTTTGGAGATAATACTTTTAGTTATCCAATTTGTCAAGAACTAATAATTTTTTATAGTATATAGGGCAAGACTGCATATAAAATTTAATTAATATACAAATAATGATACCAGCCATATATAAGTATAATTAATGTATTTAATCAGAGTAATTATCTAACTATGGCTATCAGAAGAAAACTTGCTATACATTCTCAAATACTCAGGAACTTTATTGCACTGGCCCTCATGTATTACATGACAGCCTTGAATAGTATATATATATTTATATTTAAAGAGTTTTTACACATTATTTTTCTAACCT